GACAGGTGTTTGGAAATAAAAAAACAACGTTTTGCCTTCAGTTCATATTTTAATTAAAAACATCACCAATTTTTTGTTTAAAATATGCAAAAGGAACGTAAGGAATGAACATTTATTAAATACGTATCAGAGTAATAACGGCTGCTTTTCCTGGAATATTTCCTACAACAATAAGAATATAAAAAATCAACAAGTGTTTTGTTGAAAAAGAATCTAGTAGAGTAAATTATGCTAATATCAAAGTATTGTTCTAAATGCTCTAAGCAGATTGCACAGAAATGCATTGTTATATCTGTTAACTTTACTATCAATCAATAATTCAGAAAATTGTATAAAAAATTCGCTAAAGAACTCCATGAAAATAATTATAATTCTTTCATTCCTACTAAATTGCCATTCTAAATGGAACATAATCACTAAAACTGAACAATTGAAAAACACTTCAATCAAACAAATCTTCTAAAAATAAACCTAAAAGATCATCTAAATGATCAGATGTTCAAATGAATTCGGTGCCTCTTTTCAAAAAGTCTTCGTGACTTTATCCTCTTAAAACCGTCATATTTCTTCACAGAGGGAATTTGGATAAATGGAAAAATGGAAAAATGTCATTCAAAATAACAGAGATAATTGTGAACATTGAAGTTTGCGAAGAAAGGCACCAAATTAATTTCTGCACCTGATAAATAACCCACAAATTTACAATTACCCTTAAAAGAAAAGGTACAAATGCTAAGCCTTAGAATTTCTAAATAATTCTACAATTATCTTGAGAAAAAGGTGAAAAGTATAAATAACCCACCAATTTACAATTACCCTCGACAATAGGTACGAATGTTAAATCTTCGAATTTCCAGATAATTCTACAATTACCTTGAAAGAAAGGTGAAAAGGTAATCGGGAAACAAATATACCAGGCAAATACTTAAACAGTAAATTTATTTAATGGTAATGGTATGTACAGTTCAAGCAGGGATGTGTTCGCCTTGTGGGTGGAAACCGTTCTCGTCAGCAACATAGTTGACAGAGTATCTGACGTTGGTCTGTGGGTCCACCCATGAGAAGCTACCGCGGACAGCGAGTGCCTCGTTCTCGGTTCCCGGGTTCACCAGTTCAGCGTTCTCCTCTCTGGTTTGTCCGTCAGAAAGTTCATAGGCATAATTATAGCCACCCAGGCCGATATTGTTGGAGGGTACCTCCTTGACGAGAACGGAGCCCTCGGGTTGAAGAGGGGGAGCGGCGTAGGCAACAGCGGCGAAGAAGGCGATAGCAACTAACTGCAACGACGAAAGGAAAGAGAATTAAATAAACTGCTTGAAAAGTGAACGAGTTGAAACTGAATGAAGCTGTAGGGACGAATGAGAAATCTCGTTAATATATGAAAGAGAGATACAACAGAGTGACAATGATTTTTCAATTCTTTTGGAAGTTTTTTTTTTTCAAAAAATAGATTGTTAAATTGTATATCGATACAGTTAACACGAAATGGTTTATGCTGTTTCTTCGATTATTCGTCACTGTGTTTCGACACCGGAAACGCAATTTTTTTCACAGCGTACTACACGGTTACGCAAACAGAGATCCGTTACCACGGCGATTTACTGAATATAAGTCTCGAAAGATATTTGCATGTTAACAATAGACGGGGAGGGGAGAAGAACGATAACATGTGTAATTGCGATATCGTTGTATAGTTAATGGTACATAACAAACCGCGGGGCGCTTGTTAATTACACGCTCGTAACTGTTGGATCATCCGCGTGGATCTCTAACAAACAAGTATTTTTTTTTCCGTCTCGAAGATGACGATCCACCGATGGAACGAGTTTCGAAGTTTCTTTGAAGCGCAATTCTACTTGTACAAAGAAGAAGAAGTGGAAGACGAAGAAGATGATCGAAATGGAACGTGATTGTGCACTTAATATCCTTTTTAAGAGTGAAACACGCACCAGCTTCATGTTTGCTTGATTGTTTCGATTAGGGAATAAAAGACAACAAGGTGTGTTGACCTGAGATGAGGTAGATCACGATACTGATTCGACGGTGGTCATGGAACCATTATATAGTCGGACTTCGGGATGATTTTGGCCCCCTACCAACGAACCACAGACCGAAAATTCTTCGTCGAGGATGTTGAAATCACCGAATGGCATTGGCTGGTATGGCAGTGGTAGAACGATGACCGACAAAGGAAGAGGCGGTGAATGTCAGGCAAGAATTCGAGGAAGAACAGCCGGCAGCGAAAATCGCGTGGTTTCACCACGTCTCATTTGGATCCTCGGTCGCCTTACCAAACTTGGACGCGGAACAATGGACGCGGTCGTCGCCTGGAAATCCGTGTTGGGAGATGTACTTGCATACAGTACGGGCTTGGTACCGTGGTTAAAAGGAAGATGCATGGAAGATGATGTTTGGTTACTTAAGGGATTACATCCGCCCGTAACATTCACTTTCTGATTTTTAAATGTACTTGTAAAGTTTACATCTTTAAACATTTGCAAAGTTTACAGTTTGAAAAATGTATTCTGCCAATTTTATGATAGAGTGATCTCGATTTTTTTAATTTCAATTCTGATTTTGTTTCCGAGAAAGATCTGAAGTTTTTTATTAAAGTGTAATAAAGTTACACTTTTCTCTAAACAGAGGTAGGAATATTTAAGTAATATACATATGTACTTATGTATGTACCTTTTAAAAGAAAAAGGTTCGATTTAATTTGCACGTATAGATACCAAAACAAATTCTTAAACTTGTATCGTGTTTTTTGGCTATCCAGGTACATGCAACTGATTTACATTTTATGTAAAAAATTCGCGAGTAGATTGAGGTACCATTATGGAGGAGGAATGTGAAGTTACATTTGTAGAAATTTTCTTAAACTTTTTTTACATTGAGAAAATTGAGATTATTTTCTCACTTGAATATTAGATATTTCGCAGAGTGTTTTCGAAAGGTTTTTGAGAAGTTAATTTTGTATAATAGAAGAACCTTATATTATAAAAAATGAATACTAGTTTTCATATGTAAAATATGAAAATGAAACTTGGACCATAAATTAATCTTATCTAAGATAAAATCGAATACAAGAAAAATAAAGGACAAACATGTTCATGGGCAGTAATTCGAGTGATTGTTTATTTAAAAAAAATATCTTAAATGATTCATTAATAGCGTTCAAATTATCAAATAAACATCACGGGTAAAATATTATTTTCCTAGAAAATAAAATTACAAATGTGATCTGAAACGCACACTATACCAAATTCGTATACTTGAACTTGGAGTAGTGACATCTTCAGCATGCGTTCATCGATATTCGAAAATACGTATTACACAACATCGTGAAGTTCCTGTTAATGCGTATATTAGTATGATCACCGAAAGAGTTTCGTTATGTCAACATAATTCATTACAAATTGGATTTCGCCTACCATTACGACACATGGATCCTCCACCGTTCACCGTCCTTTTATACTTTTTACAAATTGAACCTAGATCGAAGCCATAATATTCGGAAGTCACGCAAACGAGTAGGTAGGTATTCATCTCTCCGAAAGGTGAATCTTGATGTTCAACAAAAGTCACGTTCGGTTCGCCTCTAACATACCCGAACGATCAAAAGCATAATGTCTGACTTTAGTCACAATTTTTACGATAGAATGGCACAGCGAGGGTTAATTGCGATCGAGCAATTCTTAACAAAATTTTTCAGAACTATCAAACTAGCAATAGTCACATTTTATATAAAAAATTCGCGAGTAGATTGAGGTACCATTATGGAGGAGAGTTCTTACTTGAATATTTTGGATATTTTCAAGAGAGATAATAATTGTAACAAATATTAGTAGAGTTAAATACTTGTAATACAAATTAGTGCGGTACCAAAAAATCAATATTATTGTATGAAACTTTATGTAATTGAATTAATCACCGTGTAAATAATAAATACAACAGTTACGACGATACACAGATACTTATCAAACCCACTGTACTTCCTGCGCGTTAAAATCATTGTCACTCAATTTCACGTGAAATTTGCTCGCTTTTCAATCAGATAACACGACCTCTCGAATTTTTTTTTTATGGTTTTTCAACTGGGTTCCATTTCACCGAGATGTCGCAATTCACGGCATTAATCGTTTCATGAAATCCACGGGTGACATCCCGTTTCACGGACGACACGCACGCACGCGTGTATAAATCTTGCAAATATATTCAAATATTCCGTAAAAGTTAAAAATAAAGGTTCGCGAGGAAGGATGATTGCGTCAAGGCGACCTTGTTGCTGTTCTAAGGCAGCCGTTCGTCTACGACACGAGACGAAAGCAGAACAATAAGCGTCCTCCATTGTCTAACGAGGCGAGAGATGGAAGAGAAAGAGAGTAGGAGGAAAAGAAACAAAGGAACAAAAAAAAAAAAAGAAGAACATGTGGTAGGTGCAGAAGTTCGAAAAGAAAGTTTGTGGGTGTTACGTAAGCGACGACGGTCGTTTATGCTAATGCTCGAAAGAGCATCGTTGTCGAAGAGACGACGCACAGTGGTCCAAATGGCCGATTTAGCTGGCGAAAATTAAAAACTCCTTCATATCGACTTTTTTCGATAGAATATGATAATTTAATATCACAATGTATAATAATAATTAATTATGATGCATAATACAGATTAATAATAATCATAATAATAATGTTATGAATTTCATTCTATACGAAATGAAAACCGCACGAAATTATGGACCAAAATAATGTATGCTAAATATAAATAAGATGTATATTGTGCGAAAAGTGGGTAAATTTCAGAATACATACTTCTCGTTTTGCTTGCAATTCTGAACTGACTCTTCTTTCCGTCGGTTAAATTCTCTTTCACCTTTTGACCGAAACTTTGTCTTCAACGCAATGGAAGACGTGTAATCGGCAGGTCGCGTCGCGATAAAACATGCTCTAGCAACAAATGGCGCAGGTTTGCGCAAAAAATTTTTGTTGCATTGTAAACGTAAAGCTTCACAGAATATAACGGACCTTGAAAGTAGATCGGGACTCATCGGGATGTATAACAAAATCACTATTGAATTCTTGCATTCGTAAAAAATAGTATCCATGCATTAAACACGTATAAATATCAACAACCATCAAAAGATACATAATAAAACTGTGCAAACCTTTTAGAATATAGAACATACTTACCAGAAAAACTTTCATAATGAAAAAACAAGGAAGCATCTTTTATAAAACATAAAAAGTGTTTCAGGAAATTTCAAGGGCCTGGCGCTTACCACAAAATTAACTAAACTTTGGCAAAGCATAACATATCATAGGTACACGAATGATAAAAAAAAAAGTCGGGGCATTGTTCCTCACATATTTAACTACATCGTGTGATAAAAATTTTTTCGCTTAGATAAAGTGTTTCAAACTGACTTTTGGCCAGCTAAATCAGCTAAATTTGAACCACTGTCCGACGATCGTCGGACGTTAACGACGAACGACACGTTCCGTACCGCTTCGGACACGTTCCGTACCGCTTCGGACACGTTCCGTACCGCTTCCAACGCAGTCCGTATGGCTTCAGACGCATTCAGTCGAGCTTCAGACGCGGTCACGACACGGAACGTACGAGTCACGACAACGACGACCGACGAACGTGAACGATGGATAACGAACGCTAACGTCTCGACGTTGAAAGAGAGGAAGATGAGCACTGAAGGTGGGAAGATCTATGTTCTTTATGTCACGATTCTTAGTTTCTTTCTTCTTCTTGTTTTCTTTTTCCTCTTGTACTTTTATATCCTTGTAATTGATCGAAAGCTAAGATGTAAGGGGGACAACGTAATCGAACGTAAATAGTAGTATGCTCGTTTCGCGAAATTGCCTTGCGGTTACCTTCGCATATGCTTGATATATTGCTGGTTTGCAGAAATTGTACCTGATTGAGTGCCTTGAACATATTTTATTCATAATATCTCACTACGCATATTTTTTGCAACACTTGGGTACCTTGAAAATTTTTATTAACAATATATTAAACATTTTACTAATATTTTATTACAAGTGAAATTTCTAAAACAAAGAATTGCGTGAAACTTAAAAATAAACTATGTTAGTATAGCTCAATAAACAAATTTATTTTACTTTTTGCCCCAGTAAACAAACAATGATCACTTATCTGTGGAATTGGTTTAATAATAAGATGTGAGTGATGGCATGAATGTAGTGAGTATATCGTATGGTCTCGAGATTTGGTAAACGAGCGGATCATACAGGGTAACTGGGGGTAAAAACAGGTGAAGCGCGTTGTTATTGATATCTGAGAGTACGTGAGAATTTATTGCGAGATATATTTAGAGAGGGACAATCAAATTATCATTATTTCTTTTTACGTGTGTATATAGTTATTGTTATAAAATATATTGCTATTTAACTTATTAACAAGTGTTATACAACCACATTATCAACGTTCTCACCATTTCTTCAGTCGTCATTACGTATATTTTTCGCAACACTTCTTGCTCTTGAGCCACCTCGACTTTTTTTGTTTAAACTATCGCTGATTTTTTCTGTGTACACGTGCTTGTGCAATATCTATCGAAAAGGAGTAGTTAGTTGATAATCTTCTTTCTTTATGTGGAAGTCGAATGTTAATGTTGTAAAACGGTATTGGGCAACCTTCGAATGGATATCAGTGTTTCCACTTTCAGTTTGGTAATTAGAGATATAGACTGCTTGATTTCTTTCTGGCGTTCGTTAAAACATCATTGAGTCATATATTTAATATTCCTCATGTGCGAGAGTAAAGTGGCTGCTGTATTTGTTTAGGCTGAAACTGACAGGAGATTGACGCTAACTTGCTACTTTGTTACAAAATAAATATTACGCATTACTGAAATAGAGTTGTGCAGTGAAAGTGTAAATAAACAACTGTATTTAGCGAAATTTTAATTAAAATACACTTATTGTTCGAT